CATGCAGCTCATCATAGAAGCGGCATGTTTGGGGCTCTGACCCAGAGCGGCTGTTCGCCTCTCTGGTTTTCTGGTAGGCTTGCCTCAGCTCCTTCAGTTTCACGCGGCACTGCTTCGGGTCCCTGTTATGGCCTCTGTCCTTCATGCCCTGGGAGATTTTCAGAAAGGTTTTGGCATTTCGAAAACTGGAACGGAGTTCTGATAGCACGGATTCCTCTCCCCAAACAGCGATCAGATCCCGTACCTCCCGTTCAGTCCATGCTGGAGCTCTTTTGCGATTCTGGGACTTCATCATGGTCACCTGTGCTGATGAGCTCTGCATGGTCACCTGCAGCTTGCCACGCTGGCCAAACAGGAAATGAGATTCAAAAGTTCGCGGTTCTTTTCCTGTCTACCTGGCCAGTGCATCTGAGTTGAGAGTGCTGTCCACAGCGGTCATAATGGAGCACTCTGGGATAGCTCCCGGAGGCCAATACCATCGAATTGTGTCCACAGTACCCCAAATTCGAGCCGGCAACGTCGATTTAAGCGCTAATCCACTTGTCAGGGGTGGAGTAAGGAAATCGATTTTAAGAGCCCTTTAAGTCGAAATAAAGGGCTTCATTGTGTGGACGGGTGCAGGTTTAAATCAATTTAACGCTGCTAAATTCGACCTAAAGTCCTAGTGTAGACCAGGGCTCAGATTTTGGAAGGCACTTCAAATTCTTAAACCTTGGGTCGAGTACTGTAGCTATCTTTAGAAATCTCACATTGGTACCTTTTTTGCATTTTGTCAAATCTGCAGCGAAAGTGTTCTTAAAACGAACAACGCGTGCTGGGTCATCATCTGAGACTGCCACAACACGAAATATATGGCAGAACGCGGGTAAAACAGAGCAGGAGACATACAGTTCTCCCCCAAGGAGTTCAGTCACAAATTGAATTAAGGCATTTTTTTTTAACGAGTATCATCAGCATAGAAGCATGTCTTCTGGAATGGTGGCCAAAGCGTGAAGGGACATTAGAATGTTTAGCATATCTGGCACATAAATACCTTGCAATGCCAGCTACAAAAGTGCCATGCAAATGCCTGTTCTCATAGAATCATAGAATATCAGGGTTGGAAGGGACCCCAGAAGGTCATCTAGTCCAACCCCCAACTATGAGGTGATATTGTAAATAAGGAGAGCAGCATTATGTCCCATAAATGTAAACAAACTTGTTTGTCTTAGTGATTGGCTGAACAAGAAGTAGAACTGAGTGGACTAGTAGGCTCTAAAGTTTTACATTGTTTTGGTTTTGAGTGCAGTTATGTAAAAAAAAAATCTACATTTGTAAGTTACACTTTCACAGTATAGAGATTGCACTATCGTACTTGAATGAGCTTAATTAAAAATACTATTTCTTTTATCATTTGTATAGTGCAAATATTTGTAATAAAAATAACAATGTAAAGCGAGTACTGTATTCTGTGTTTTAATTGAAATCAATATATTTGAAAATGTAGAAAAACATCCAAAAATATTTAATAAATTTCAACTGGTACTCTATTGTTCAACAGTGAGATTAATCGCGATTAATTTTTTTTAGTTAATTGCGTGAGTTAATAGCGATTAATCAACAGCCCAGGTAGCTATTCAGTATTTTGCTTTGTCTTCATCATTCACTGTGTGGTCCCATATCTTAATTGCTGCACACTATTCAAATCCTGCACTGAGTACAGAATTAATCCCTCAGAGCCTTTTCTGTAGCACTTCACAAACACTAATGACTTTAACTTCCCAACATCCCTGTGAGGTACAGTTTGTATCAGTATCCCCAGGTTATAGACAGGGGCCTGAAGCACAAGGGATTAAGGTCAGAAGTGTCCACTAATTTCAGGTGACCAACTGGAGACACCTGAGACCTGATTTTCTTGGCATTACATGTTCTATGTTCAAAGCACAGCTCCCAATGACCAGCTGCAACAGTGAGTGCTCTGCATGGCTGCAAATCAGACTCTTTGGGTCTCAAGTTTGGGGTGCAAAAAAGGAAGAACACCTGAGAAAATTTGCATGTAAGTGACTTGCCCAGAATCACATAGAAACTCCGTGGCAGAGGCAGGGATAGAATCCACTTCTCCAAGGCAGTGTTCAAGTGCAATGGGACTATCCTTTCTCCTTCTGGAATCCCATACTTCATTCCCTACACACCTTCCAACTTCTGCAACAAAACAGGCAGGGGGCCTTCACTACACAATCCTGATGCAGCCATCACATGTAGCTGTCCACCCCATGCTACCTGTCGGTCATGTGCTCCAGGTGGTGAGGGCAGCCTTGCCTCCTGCTTCTCTTGCTTTCCCTTAAGCAAGCCTTGCAGGACTTTGCTCCCTGCCCGCCTCTCACCCCTGGCCCCCCAGAACATGCCATCGGGGCCATCCTGCAAGTCTCCCCAGCCACCTCCAACATGCCACCAGAACCAGCTGCACAATATCCAGCCAGACCACCTCCAAACTGTGCCCAAGAAACATCTGTACATACCTCTCCTCCATCCTATTCACATCTTCACCCTCGTGTCTCCCCCCAACACCGAGCAATGGGGCCCACTGCAACCAGTGGAGAGCAAGGAACCCAGTGAGCCAGCCTGTACTCCATTCTGATCCCAGGGCGCACTGGGGATATGAGCTGGTGGCTTCCTCACGGAGCTGTGAGTGCAGGCGTGTACCTGGTGTGATTTACAAAATCCCCCGATCCCTGCCTCTGTTGTGTGTCCTCTCGCTCTATCTACATAGGGTGGGACAGGCTGCAGCCCCTCTTCCAGCTCTTCCAGAACCTCCTGCACTGTCCCCTGCACCTCCCAATTCATACACAGCCTATCTGTGGCCCCACAAACTTGCTAAACCTCCTCGTCAACCTACTCCTAGTTCTGGCCAAGATAGACATCCACCACTCTAGGAGGAGAAAGCTGGATGGGGAGAGCCTATTTCCTTTCCCTAGTACAGCCACGTCTCCATGCAGACCTGCTCTGGGCAGCGTCCACTGGACTTCTCTGAGGAGCAGTGGCTGTTGTCGGAGCTCTCTGCTCCATATCCCCCACTGGATCCCTGAGTTTTGCCCTGTGACCTTCACTCCCATTACTGTTTTTTCATTTGTTGCCCCCTGTAGTCAAGTGGAGCCTGAATTTAGTGGTTCCTCCCCTTTGTGAAGGGGGAGGGCCTTTAGTTTTGGGCAGGCCTAGACCCACCCATACCAGTACTTCAAATAGGGCACAATGCTGATTCATCCATAGCGGTACCAACTTGGTACTGCATTCATCTATTCCTCTCTTGGTTGTCTCCATGCCACCCACCTATGCACAGCATGCCCTCCCTACTGCAGGCCACTGAGATGCCAGCCCAGGCTCCCTGCTCAAGACTCACCTCATCTATGATAGCGACTAGAAAGGAATCAAATCACATTAACAATGTATTTTTAAAAACCACAGGCATTCCCATGCACTCTCACTTGGGCTTGTTTAGACTGGAAGCTTTTTGGGACAGGGAACAGTGTTTATATTGCAAATCAGGTCTAACCCTCCTGGGAATAACGTCCAGAAGGGTTCAGTCCCTCCCTGCGACGGAATGTCAGCGGGCCGGGCAGACGGATACCTCTCTCCATATAGGCTGTGAGTTCAGGAAGGATTCAGCAACCAGCAGGAGCGGTGGGTACAGGTCAAGGACAGGTGGAGGCTGAGTTAGCAGCTGGTGCTTAGGGGCTGGGCCCAACATGGTGAGACAAGGGGAGCCCGCCCGGACTGTCATGCCTACGCGTTCAGAAACCAAACTGGGGGGAAGAGTTTCCCTTCTCTCCGCATTGCACGGCCTGGCCGCGCCGCTCACCCTGCCCCCCGCATTGCACGGCCGGGCCGCGCCGCTCACCCTGCCCCCCGCTCCCCGCATTGCACGGCCGGGCCGCGCCGCTCACCCTGCCCCCCGCTCCCCGCATTGCACGGCCTGGCCGCGCCGCTCACCCTGCCCCCGCCATTGCAGGGCCGGGCCGGGCCGCGCCGCTCACCCTGCCCCCCGCCCCCCCGCATTGCACGGCCGGGCCGCGCCACTCATCCTGCTCCCCGCATTGCACGGCCGGGCCGCGCCGCGCCGCTCACCCTGCCCCCCGCTCCCCGCATTGCACGGCCGGGCCGCGCCGCTCACCCTGCCCCCCACTCTCCGCATTGCACGGCCTGGCCGCGCCGCTCACCCTGCCCCCGCCATTGCAGGGCCGGGCCGGGCCGGGCCGCGCCGCTCACCCTGCCCCCCGCATTGCACGGCCGGGCCGCGCCACTCATCCTGCTCCCCGCATTGCACGGCCGGGCCGCGCCGCTCACCCTGCCCCCCGCTCCCCGCATTGCACGGCCGGGCCGCGCCGCTCACCCTGCCCCCGCCATTGCAGGGCCGGGCCGGCGCCAGGGCCGCGCCGCTCACCCTGCCCCCCGCCCCCCCGCATTGCACGGCCGGGCCGCGCCGCTCACCCTGCCCCCGCCATTGCAGGGCCGGGCCGGGCCGGGCCGCGCCGCTCACCCTGCCCCCCGCATTGCACGGCCGGGCCGCGCCACTCATCCTGCTCCCCGCATTGCACGGCCGGGCCGCGCCGCTCACCCTGCCCCCCGCTCCCCGCATTGCACGGCCGGGCCGCGCCGCTCACCCTGCCCCCCGCTCCCCGCATTGCACGGCCGGGCCGCGCCGCTCACCCTGCCCCCCGCTCCCCGCATTGCACGGCCTGGCCGCGCCGCTCACCCTGCCCCCGCCATTGCAGGGCCGGGCCGGGCCGGGCCGCGCCGCTCACCCTGCCCCCCGCCCCCCCCGCATTGCACGGCCGGGCCGCGCCGCTCACCCTGCCCCCGCCATTGCACGGCCGGGCCGGGCCGCGCCGCGCCGCTCACCCTGCCCCCCGCCTCCCCGCATTGCACGGCCGGGCCGCGCCACTCATCCTGCCCCCCGCTCCCCGCATTGCACGGCCGGGCCGCGCCGCTCACCCTGCCCCCCGCTCCCCGCATTGTGCGCTCACCCAGGCCGCGTGACTCGGTAACCACCGTATCGGGCCCAGGCTGCTGCTGTGCATGTCGCAGGGCAGATGCAGCCCGCAACCCGCCTGGAAACTGGAAGCGGCGCGTTCCGCAGTCCCGGGCCACACTCCCTGCGGCAGCGGCTTCCCCGCCTCTGCCGCAGGGCCACACAGGCCTCCTTCGGCGGCAGCTCCCCCGTGCGCGCCGGACTGGAGGCGTCCTGTGCTACAGCCCTGGGCCTTCGCTCGGCTCCCTAGAAGCTGGCCCGTTTCCGCAGCTCTGCTGCCCCACAGGGACGGGACGGGGTGAACAGGCCCGCCAAGCTCGATCAACAGCGGGCCGGGGAACACGGGGTGTGAGGGGCTGCGCTGAGATCGCATTGGCAATGGACCCACCAGGCCGGGCCCGCACGGTGTTGGGTGGCGGGAGAACACCAAGCCATGGTCCTAGGTGTGCACAGTTTACAGCAGTGTGCTTCTTAACCTTCCCTGCCCATCTGATGGACCGAGCCTCCATTAATTTAGCTAGCTCTTGTGTGTGTATTAAGACTCATTTTAGGATGATTTTAGGAGAAGGAGTTTTCTGACCTGATGCTTCTCTGCTTCCCCAGGGAACACACAAAACAAAGAGCACAAACAAAGCCTTCTCCCCCATCCAGATTTGAAAGTATCTTCTTTCCCCATTGGTCCTTTTGGTCAGGTGCCAACCAGGTTATTTGAGCTTCTTAACCCCTTAGAATCATAGAATATCAGGGTTGGAAGGGACCTCAGGAGGTCATCTAATCCAACCCCCCGCTCAAAGCAGGACCAATCCCCAATTATATCATCCCAGCCAGGGCTTTGTCAAGCCTGACCTTAAAAACTTCTAAGGAAGGAGATTCTACCACCTCCCTAGGTAACGCATTCCAGTGTTTCACCACCCTCCTAGTGAAAAAGTTTTTCCTAATATCCAACGTAAACCTCCCCCACTGCAACTTGAGACCATTACTCCTTGTCCTGTCCTCTTCTACCACTGAGAATAGTCTAGAACCATCCTCTCTGGAACCACCTCTCAGGTAGTTGAAAGCAGCTATCAAATCCCCCCTCATTCTTCTCTTCCGCAGACTAAACAATCCCAGTTCCCTCAGCCTCTCCTCATAAGTCATGTTTTCCAGAGCCCTAATCATTTTTGTTGCCCTTCGCTGGACTCTCTCCAATTTCTCCACATCCTTCTTGTAGTGTGGGGCCCAAAACTGGACACAGTACTCGAGATGAGGCCTCACCAATGTCGAATAGAGGGGGACGATCACGTCCCTCGATCTGCTCGCTATGCCCCTACTTATACATCCCAAAATGCCATTGGCCTTCTTGGCAACAAGGGCACACTGCTGACTCATATCCAGCTTCTCGTCCACTGTCACCCCTAGGTCCTTTTCCGCAGAACTGCTGCCTAGCCATTCGGTCCCTAGTCTGTAGCTGTGCATTGGGTTCTTCCGTCCTAAGTGCAGGACCCTGCACTTATCCTTATTGAACCTCATCAGATTTCTTTTGGCCCAATCCTCCAATTTGTCTAGGTCCCTCTGTATCCTATCCCTGCCCTCCAGCGTATCTACCACTCCTCCCAGTTTAGTATCATCCGCAAATTTGCTGAGAGTGCAATCCACACCATCCTCCAGATCATTTATGAAGATATTGAACAAAACCGGCCCCAGGACCAACCCCTGGGGCACTCTACTTGACACCGGCTGCCAACTAGACATGGAGCCATTGATCACTACCCGTTGAGCCCGACAATCTAGCCAACTTTCTACCCACCTTATAGTGCATTCATCCAGCCCATACTTCTTTAACTTGCGCACAAGAATACGGTGGGAGACCATGTCAAAAGCTTTGCTAAAGTCAAGAAACAATACATCCACTGCTTTCCCTTCATCCACAGAACCAGTAATCTCATCATAGAAGGCGATTAGATTAGTCAGGCATGACCTTCCCTTGGTGAATCCATGCTGACTATTCCTGATCACTTTCCTCTCATGTAAGTGCTTCAGGATTGATTCTTTGAGGACCTGCTCCATGATTTTTCCGGGGACTGAGGTGAGGCTGACTGGCCTGTAGTTCCCAGGATCCTCCTTCTTCCCTTTTTTAAAGTTTGGCACTACATTAGCCTTTTTCCAGTCATCCGGGACTTCCCCCATTCGCCACGAGTTTTCAAAGATAATGGCCAATGGCTCTGCAATCACAGCCGCCAATTCCTTTAGCACTCTCGGATGCAACTCGTCCGGCCCCATGGACTTGTGCATGTCCAGTTTTTCTAAATAGTCCCTAACCACCTCTTTCTCCACAGAGGGCTGGCCATCTACTCCCCATGCTGTGATGCCCAGCGCAGCAGTCTGGGAGCTGACCTTGTTAGTGAACACAGAGGCAAAAAAAGCATTGAGTACATTAGCTTTTTCCACATCCTCTGTAACTAGGTTGCCTCCCTCATTCATTAAGGGTCCCACACTTACCTTGGCTTTCTTCTTGTTGCCAACATACCTGAAGAAACCCTTCTTGTTACTCTTGACATCTCTCGCTAGCTGCAGCTCCAGGTGCGATTTGGCCCTCCTGATTTCATTCCTACATGCCCGAGCAATATTTTTATACTCTTCCCTGGTCATATGTCCAACCTTCCACTTCTTGTAAGCTTCTTTTTTATGTTTAAGATGCGTTAGGATTTCACCGTTAAGCCAAGCTGGTCGCCTGCCATATTTACTATTCTTTCGACACATCGGGATGGTTTGTCCCTGTAACCTCAACAGGGATTCCTTGAAATACAGCCAGCTCTCCTGGACTCCTTTCCCCTTCATGTTATTCCCCCAGGGGATCCTACCCATCCTTTCCCTGAGGGAGTCGAAGTCTGCTTTCCTGAAGTCCAGGGTCCGTATCCTGCTGCTTACCTTTCTTCCCTGTGTCAGGATCCTGAACTCAACCAACTCATGGTCACTGCCTCCCAGATTCCCATCCACTTTTGCTTCCCCTACTAATTCTTCCCGGTTTGTGAGCAGCACAAACCTTACAGGTAAGGAGGAATTCTAAGCTACCCTTAGCTGTATGGTTATGACAAGGCTTGCACATACTGCAAGATAATGCACAAAGTGTTTACAATGCTCACAAAAGCAGTGTGCAGCTGAGCAGGCTCCATGCTTGCTGTGCTATGGTGTTTGCACGGATAACCCAGGAAAAAAGGCACGAAATGATTGTTTGCCCTTGCTTTCACGGAGGGAGGGGAAACTGACAACATGTACCCAAAACCACCAGCAACAATGTTTTTTCCCCATCAGGAATTGGGAGCTTAACCCAGAATTCCGATGGACAGCGGGGACTACCCACAGTGCACCACTCTGAGAGTCGATGCTAGCCACGGTGTTGAGGATGCACTCCACCGACCTAATGTGCTTAGTGGGGACATGCACAATTGACTGAGGGCAGGGATAGCTCAATGGTTTGAGCATTAGCCTGCTAAACCCAGGGTTATGAATTCAATCCTTGAGGGGGGCCATTTAGGGATCTGGGGCAAAAATTGGGGATTGGTCCTGCTTTGAGCAGGGGGTTGGACTAGATGACCTCCTGAGGTCCCTTCCAACTCTGATATTCTATGGCTGTATAAAATCAGTTGCTAAAGATCGACCTCTATAAAATTGACCTAATTTTGTAGTGTAGACATGCCCTCAATCTCATCCCTGCCTTCCCTACCACTCACAGCACATGCTGCAGAGCATGTCACTACACATACACACATGTGCTGCATTTGCCAACCTGCTCTCCACATTCCCTAATCACCGTGCACAACATGCTTCACAATGACAATTTGCAGCTCTGGGCTATAGTTCACCTCCTAAATAGGGCTGTCTGTTTTGGTTGGACATATTCCAGGAGATTTCATCGCATGACAATCTAATTAAAGATTAACCTTTAATTCCAGCAGACTCCAGGACAATCCTGGAGGATTGGCAACCCTACTTCTAAACCAACTCCACAAACACTGGGCAAGACCCTTCAATACTCTGCAGCGTTGTACTTCAAAACAATCCCTCCCCCTCCTCAAACCCCCACAACCTAATTCAAGACATACACATGATTAATGTGGCTTGCTCCATACCGTCCCATATATTTCACATACCATACATACAATTCATAGTGCTTGCTGCATGCCCTCCAGAATTAACACACTTACACACACACACTTACACACACCTACACACCCACACACACCCCTCTTCCACCCCTGGTGAACATAGAGGTCTACACATGGCCGATTACCCCATAAAAACCACAACACACACATTGCAGTCCCTTCACTCACACACAATTCTCTGTCCCACCCCCTCAAAAACATCCACACACAATAAATGTTGTTTGATCCAGTTCCTCCCTAAAACATCCCTCACACACACCCCTCCCCAACTACACCCACCCACACAGTGCAGACCCCGCAACCTCACAGTTGATACACACAGACATGTATTGTATAATGCCTTCCCTCCCTCTCTCTCTCTCTCTCTCACACACGCACACAAATTAGTACAACCTGCAGCTCCCTACACTCAATTCATACACACCCTCTGCAGACCCATCCCTGCACAGTTCTGTCTCTCTCACACACAACCCTTGCTGCTGCCTACTGCATTTCCTCCATATTTAAGGCTAAGATTTAGTCATGGGTATTCTTAGTAAGAGTCATGGATAAGTCATGGCAATAAACAAAAACTAATGGCCCCTGACCTGTCCATAACTTTTACTATGAATACCCCTGACTAAATCTTAGTTGCTCCTAGGGTGGTGCTGCTCTGGGGGACCCTGCGGGCCAATGACTGGCTCCTGCTCCAGGGACCGACTGCCTTCAGCCACCCGCTGCTCCAAGGCCCCCCAGGGACCGCTCTCCAATGGTCTCCGGGGCTGCCACTCTGGCCGCCCCCAGGACCACCCACTGGTCATGGCTCAGGCCGACCCCGAGACCACTGGTGCTCTGGAGGTCCCCGGGCCGTCCCTGGGACCGCTGCTTGGCTAGTGTGATGAAGTGGGACTGTTCTTAATGTTTCCTCTGAATAGTGTGGGGGTGCCTCAGTTTCCCCTATGCAGTTCTTAAGTATCTAGGTGGTGGGGTAAGGGTGTATGATCATTGCAGAGCAGAGGGCAGGTGTGTGCAGGGGTCTGGACAGAGAGAATGGCCAACACCCTGTTTCCTGGCAACTGATGGCCTGGCCCTTCCCCCCTGCAAGGTGAGAGCTAAAGGGTTGGAGAACAAAGGAATCAGGTGACCTCCTGGCCCGGGAAAGGGGAAAGCCCAGAGGAGGAGGGGCTGGAGGGAGTTTCAGTTTGAGGCTGGCTGGGGACATGGAGTGAAGTACAGACATGGTTGTCTGGCTCACTGCCCCCCA